CTTTCTTCCTCAATCCCGCCTCCCCCTCCTCCCCCACCCTTGCGACCGCGACGCTCCGAGTCCTCCGAACCGATTCCCCCTCCCCTCCCCCTCCTTCCCCAATCCCGACTCCGGCTTCTCCCCCCGGCTCCCACCCTTTCTTTCTTCCTCAATCCAGCCTCCCCCTCCTCCCCCACCCTTGCGATCCCAACGCTTCGGGTGCTGCTTTTCCTTCTCCCGGTGCTTTCCCTGCTCTTCCCCCGTTCCTCCTCCGACTCCTTCTCCCGCTCGTCCTCGTGCTCCTCCCGCTTTTCCTCCTTCACGTATATCTCCTCCCCCTCCTCTGCCCTCCGCGCGTTCATTAACCCCCTCCCCATTTCCCCTCCGGCTCCTCCTCCCACTCCTTCTACCACCCCTCCTCCTGGGCCTCCTACGCCCCTTCTCGTTTGTCCTCGTGCTCCTTCTCCCACTCCTAACCCCTTCCCCGTTTCCCCTGCCGCTCCTCCTTCTCTAGCTCCTCCTCCCGCGGCTCCCCTCCCGCTCCTTCTCATGCACCTGCTTCCGCTCCTCCTCCCACCCCTCCTTTTCCGACTCCTTTTCCCATTCCTCCTCCCGCTCCTCCCGCTCCTCCTCCGCCAAACAACACGACAAAGATCCTGCCATAGCCATCTCCTATGAAAAAAACAAAAGAAAAATTGCCCGCCACGTGGCTAGCCGCGCGCGCGCTGTCGGAGGGCGCGGTGTTCCGGCCCTCCTCCGTGTACCAAGTCCCTATCTGGTACCTGGGCTATAGTATGATGTGGACCAGTCCCGGTGGCGTTGCCCTCAGCAAAAGGGGTGCGCCACAAGACTTCCATTGGTCCCCGCAGGCTCGGCGCCCCGCTGTACAGCAGAGCACAACCGGCCTGACCGTGGTAGCCGCCGGGTTCGCCTTGGGACGCGAAGATGAAGGGGGTGGCGCAGTCTTTTCTACTGCGCGTCGAGCGCCCTGTTGCCGAGTTATGGGTTGGGTGCATGAGACAGAGAGTCATTGTTGAGAAAGAAAAGAGGAAAAGAAAAATAAAATGCCAAGAATTTAAACCCACTTTTGTATGGGGAAAATCCAGTGGCCTCGGGTTGCTGCGATGCTATGATTTCTTTTCCAAAATTATGAATTGCCGTTTTCCACCTGATAGTTCTGTCGTTTCATAGGGAAGGCCGCCGATTCAGGTCTCGGACTACAACTGCCGTCTCATGGTCTGGGTCTTACTGACCCCTCGTAAAAATTGCCCATACCAGACCTGTTTGTCCGAACCGTGCGGACCCCGGTGGCCAGGTAAAGAGGCATATGCAGTGAGGACTAAAAGGAAAAAGAAAAAAAAAAAACAAAAAAAAAACATGGKGAAAGAAAGAAAAGGAACGAGAAAGATTGAAAGTCGGGTGCAAGATTTGTGCGTGAACGTGGATCGCTGTGTTAGGCAAGGGTGCTGCGCGGAGAAATTCTGGGACGCCACCCTTTCCTTTTCAGCGATTAATATTATTATTATTATTACTTTATTACTATTTAGCTTTCTAAATTTGGTTTTCAACCTGTGGGCTTATCCTTTCGCGGGAAGCCAACGGTCCGAATTTTGAAGCCAACAGTCCGTAGCCTAAGTAGGCCGACCTTGCATGTACTATCCGCGGGTGAGCCCCGATCTGGCTTCGTGCGATGAGACCCCAAAAGAAGGGTGACCCGCGGCCGCATCGGTAGGAGGCCTATCACCCCCCTGTGGAGGGTCATAAGCCCCCTCCTTGCCATCGGACATGGGTAGCCGATGACGATGGGCCTGTGCTGGTATTTAAAAACGGAGAAGTGACTTCTAGTACTCCGTTATGGGACCACAACGCAAAACTTGCAGTCATATTGCTGGGGTCTGGGACTGACAAGTGAGAACTTAATGCGTGATCGACCGCTGGGTTCTGGGTTGAGTATTAGTTTTTGAAAGTTAATTATTAATCCATTGTTTTAAAATTCTTGAGAAACGGTAGAGTCTGAAAATGACTAATGAAAGTTCCTCGTTCAGAACGCAGAGAAAAACCCTATAAAAGGGAGAGGGAGTTGAGATATCGTCTGCGACCAGTCGCCTGGTGGTATAGTCTGTACTGCGAGTTCCTGTGGGGAGTGGTCTGCTATAGGAAGTCGACGATCTAGTGTTGTGTTGTCTATCAAACGGGGCAGGCTATTCTGAGTGGCAATGGCATTACACGGCTATAGGCCGGGGTGTTGGCGGCATACAGTGCGCTGGGTTCCAGTGTCGGGGGAAGACCCTCAGATTACGACGGCCCTGAACTATGATGGGGGAGAGGTAGTCCGACTGAAAGTTTGCATTGAAAAGGGGAGAGAGGAGGAGATGCGAGCTGACCAGAGGCTGCAGGCTGCCATTTTCGAGGCGCGCGACAGAGCGGAGCGGAGGTGCAGACGAGACGGGGTGACCGTGGGCTTGAGAGTGACGGTCATCTATCACGAGACCGAATCATCAAGTGGGACCGAGACAAGGGAGGAGCAGCACAACGAGAGAGACTCAGGCGGGGAGAGTGAAATGAGCGAGGCTGACTGTGAGACGGATCTCAGGTCCTGGAATAGACCCGAGGAGATCCAAAAGCACCACCGGGCCGCGGAGCCGGTGGAGAAGGGACCTGAGGCCAGCTCACGACAACCGACTCCCAGAGGCCGTGGGACCGGAGCCCGCGGGGCAGGAGGAAAACAGAGCAAGGGGAAGAGACAGGTGTGAGACACGAGAGGCAGAACACACGCGCGCAGGAACGGTACGCTCAGGTACTCGTCTGACACATGGCGCGACCTGAAAAGGGTGAGGGCGGTCAACGGAGAGAGGTAGAGAGAGTATTGCGAGGTGTGAGTGACGTCAACTGGACAGCCGTGTAAGGAGCGAAGTAGGACGTGAGCTTGCAGAGTGCGGCGGGTATCAACTGCTTCTTGCATGCCTGCGTAAAGTGTCGGCTCTAGTCTGTCAATCGTGGTCCGCACGCTCAAGTGACGTGGCTACATCTGCCGCGCGGACGACAGCATAAGAGTGAAGGGGGATCCTGCCTGAACCATGTGAGAAGAGTCTTGTAAGGGAAGTTGGTTTGCAGGCTGCTACTCTATCCGCTTGTCATGTGCTGAGCGAGGTTACCCCCAGTCACGAATACGGGTCGACAACTTTTCACTAAGGCATGGGCTACAACCGCCCTGTAATTAGTGTGTGGCCAGTGAGAAGCCGAGTTGGTGCTTGCGTGAGCAGGGGGGGAGACTCGACTCATCTACTATGATTGGCGTATATGTGATGGTCTTGAGGAGGGAGTCGTGTGCGGACTGACAAGAAAGGCTTGAGCGAGGGCTCGAGAGTGCAGGTGACAAAACGGGTAGGATAAGTCAAGAAGGTCTACGCGCATAAGTTCATCTTCGCGCCAAAGGGGACCAAGCAAATGTCAGCCCATGACCAAGTTAAACGCTCAATGAGATGAGCATTGGGGTTTCTTCACCAGAAAGGATGTCTAAGTTATAAAGGCATGTGAGAGAGGTTTCGCTTACCGGTTGGCGCATTCGCACTGATGATCACCTGTTTTCCATCACCCTCAAGTGGTTTCCAGGAGGCAATGGAAAGAGCAATCAAGCACCGTTGACACGTCTTCTGATGTGACTGTCATGGTCGAGCCTTCAGATAAGATGCTGGCTTTTACGAGAAATGATTCCTTTTGCTCTCACTAGCTTCAGTCCTCCTCTTAGTTCGAGTAAAGGGTGCGATTGGTTGTTATTGACGGATCATGTCGCATTAGTGACAAAAGAAAATTAAGTTCCTCAGTAGACTGTATAAATAAGCGGTTAAACCTCAACTTATAATGACGCTTGAAATGAACTTGCGGTAGGATGGGTTGAGATGTAGTGAGGTAGGAGTTGGATATTCACGGAGTTTGACACGGTCAAGCGCAGTTTATTCGGGAACGTTATTCGTATTGTGTGACTCAGTTGCTCTCATGGCAGGGTCAAAGAGACGTGCTGCCATTGTGCTCGTGTGCATAAACTCAAGGAGAATGGAGATTACAAATGCAATAAGGGAAATCAATTTTCTTTTCCCTCTTCCTCCCATCTGTGTGTGATTGCATAGTGTTGATCACTTCGTGTAACGACTTCGTGTGACCTCTCTGTGTGATTACTCCTCGTGATTACGCTACGTGATTACGCTGTATGACTATGCAACGTGTTTACATAGGGTGACTACGAGACGTGATTACATAGTGTGACTGTGCTGCGTGATCACGGCGTGACCGCTCTGTGCGGCTACTTCGTGTGACTGCGCGAGCACGTGACCGTCTGGGACTACATGCACTCATATGGTCAAAGGCTTGCTAGTAGTTGTAAGGGTTCACATGTGGCATGGAAAGGATCGAGTGCATGAAAACGCGATCATAACACGCTCTCGTGTGAATAGGAGAAGGCATGGTTGAAGGCGCCGTAAGCTTGGTGAGCGCAAGTAGGTACGCAAGTCTGTTTGGCTCGCTGGGCACGTTCTGTATTTTCTCGTCTCATCCCTGCCTCTTCTAAACGAGTCTAGATGAGCTTTGGAGGAATGTTCCGACCATCAGTGTTGTTCGACCTACCCAGAAAACTGAAAACACTGAGAACGACGGAGAGATCAGTAGCTTGAAGATTTGCCCCTTTAGTCCTGTGATAGCTTCTTGAAACAAGTCGGATTGAGCAGACAGTCAATCCTGTCTTTCTCACTGATTTTGATTCTTCAGTTGATCCAGTGGTCAACTGAAAACTGCTTTGGATTAGAGCAGAGGATATGGGGAATCGCTGTCACTATAAATGTGTGAGTCAGCATGTTAAATTGATTGGATATGTAAGCTTGTTAATTCTGTGAGTGCAATTCATTGACTGAGGGTAGGTGGTCAATTGGTAGCGATATGATCAATCTAATCCGCTAAAAGAGACCTTACTCTCATTTATTTATTTATTTATTTATTCCCTTACTGTTATCGGGTTTACAATCCCGCCCGAGCGAAAACTCCATCCACGAGTTAGATCATCTTAGGAAATTAAAATGTAGATTAAGTAAACGAGCTCAGAAGAGTAGCTTGCCTGCTCATATTCGGCCGCGCCTTAAGTGAACCTTTGGTGAGTAGTAGAGGTTGTGATTTTGAGATTGCTCTCTGATGGGCAAAAAGCAGCGCATCTTGAGGGAAATTATATACCTACCGGCCAAATTCTTTGTGGATGGTGACTAGTGACTACTCTTCTTCTTTTGAGTTGTTACTAATCCCGCCTTTCATGGCCTGTGTGACAGTCTGGGACAGGCTGCCTGTAGCAAACCCTCGTCATGGTGTCGCGCCTATTTCGTCTGAGTCGTACTTGAGACTTGGTCATAGCACTGGGTGTGTGTGTGTCACCCTAGTCGTGCTTACCCTTGTCTGGCCCTGTTAACCGTGGAGGTCAAGAATTGACCTTTGTGTGTTACTCTGTCGAAAGTTGAGAGGAGCCAGCAAGAGGGGGTGGTATCAGGCAAAGCCAGCATTTAGCTGCGCTTTGATTATCGGGCAATTCAGGCCCGGACAATTAACCTCAAACAACCTCGATTCGGTTTCAAGCGGCCCAAACACAA